TTGAGAATTTAAAAAGAAATTGGTTGAGATCCAAATTCCATGACAAGGCTTCTAAGGAAAAGCTTTTGCAAACCCAGCAAGAAGTGCTGGGTGGGTGGATAATCCCGGCTGACACAGAGCATTTGATTAATTCTTCCCCAAACTGACAGACTTCGTGGTTGAACTACAACTGAGATATACAAGGTATTATTTGTGTTGGCTATTTCTACAAATGCATCCCCAAATCTCAGTGAGTTAGTAAATGTTTATTTCAAGTTTATAGAAAACCTAAAATGAATATGCCTGAGAGGCAGATAGTTCTCTTTGTAGTGACTATATCTATATTGGTAACTAGTGTTTTCTTTCCAAAGGATATGTTCATCTTGTGTAAGTTTTCAACTAAGTTATTTTCAATAAAATAGCTGCTCCCCAGCTTGTGTAGTAATACCAAAATAACATTGAATAAAAACAGCAGTGACATTATGAAACAGGAAGATTATGTCAGTCTCTCTCCGAATCATGGATGCAAAATTACCAAACAAAATATTAGCATAAAAACCCAGTGATATATAAAATATGCCGTAAGTCACCATTCAGTTGGCGTTATTCCAGACATACAGGGTTCTTTTAAAATATAAATATAAATTATTCACAATAATGACAAAATAAATGTAGAACAACATGGTATTCCAATAAACGCTAAAATAGCATTTGGTTAAATTCAAATTCTATATATTATAGAATTTTTATATATTATAAAATCTTAACTAGCCCAAACCGAAAAGAATTTGATAAAATGTTAGCAAATATCTCACTTAATAGTGAAATTACTGAAAGACTTTTCCTAAAATTGGAGACAAGAGGATGGCTATTACCATTCAGCTGAATAATAAATGAGTAAATCAACCCGAACAAAGTAAAAATATTAGCTAAGGAAAAGGAAGTAATAACACTCCTTATTCACAATTTACACAGTAATACAGATATATATTAAAAGTTCAAAAGAATATGCAAACAGAAAAAAATTAAAATTAACCAAACAAGTTCTTTGGGTACTATTAAATGTATAAAACTCAATTTTATTTCTATATGATGACAACAAAATAACATTAAAATTAAAGAGTAATATTGTGTATAATAAGATTGAGTCTAGATAAACATGTACAAGACTTCTCAGATACTTACATAAAATACTAGGAGAAAATAATGAAAATCTAAATAAATAGAAGCATGTACAAAAGCTATGGACTGAAGCTTCAATAATTTAAGAAGCCAGTGATCCTCTAATTTAATGTAGAGTCAGTGCAACTGCAATGCACTTCTAGAAATTTGTGTTTGGAAATTGATTAGAAGGTATTAAACTTTATAAGAAAATGTAGTGGACTAAAAGTATCCAAGGCACTGTAAAAATGAGAGATAAATATAGACTCACATTACCAGATATCAAAAAATTCTATAATTTCAATAATTGATGCACTGTGATATGGCACACAAAATAGCAAATTAAAGAAACAGCAAGAAGGTGAGAAACAGACCCGTATTTGATCTACATTTGGTTTGTAACAGCAACTGCTTTGCAATAAAGTGGATAAAGAATCGTGCAGATTTTCTTTTGGAAGATAAACAAGGTCAATCAACAACTACTTGAAAAAATGCATTTTTACTTCTGCTTCATAATATAGAGAAAGTCAATTCCACGTGAATGGTTGCTCTAAGTACAAATGTACATGGAAGTTTGTAGAAGAAAATAAGGGAGAACACCCTCATGAAAAGTAAGCATTCTTAGACCACACGTAAGTACACCTAAAACACTAACCTTAAAAACAAAGGTTGATAACTTTTAAATTAAAATTTTAAAAATACTGTTCTATTTCCAGTAATGGTAAAATACTTTATATAGAACCCTATTAGAGTTAAGAGGTAGAACAATTGGAAAAAATATAAAAGCCAACTATACGAAGTGTAAGAGAGCGAGCTCAAACAGGCAGAAGATGGGAAGGTCAATCCACGTAAAGAGCTGGGGTGAAATTCTGTACTTATGGCTTTGCCAGGACACACGGATCGGCGCAGGAGGCGCTGGCACTGAGAACTCGCACAGGAAGCCACAGCCCTGTTAGGAGTCAGAGGACCAGGTCCGGGGATACAGCACAGCTGAAAAGTGAGCAGTGATCCCAAAGGCTGTAATACTCGCTCTTGCGTAGATTATGGAAAGGGTGTATATTTTTTATTCCTAGAGGTAGTCACATAAAGTAATACAGAAAGGAAGTTCAAGATATTGCTTACTAAATTAGTTCCCATGTCAAATTTTATTTTAAAATAGCAAAAATATAATATATGAAAGCAGATAAAAAGAAAATGTACTTAAACTTTTAAAAGTTTCTATTTAAAATAAAGCAGGGCAAGGGAAGAATCTAAAACTTCTTGCCCCCAAATTATGCTATTTTATTAGGTTAAAGAGTCCAAGAATGTGTAGAAAATTAGACATTATAAAAATTATTTCAATTTTTTTGAAACTTTGGAAAAGTGAAAATAAAAAATAAGATAAAATAAAAAAATAAAAGGAGTTTTGTATTTTTATAACCTTATGGAGACAAAAGAAAGGAAAATGATCATTATCATACTTAAGTAAAAAATAACACGGATTTTATATACTAGCATTTTTATACTGTAATTATGTGTGTGTGGTTCTATATTTTTGACTCTGAAATTGTCTTAAAAGACAAGCTTTTGCTATCAGTAAAAGTGCAAAAAGTTAAAATTATAAATTTATATCCTCATGACAGTTTCAATAGTAAAACCATTTACATTTATATTTAAAACAGGGGGCAAGACTGTGGAATGTGCAGCCTATGGCCAGGGAGAACACTCTCTAGGTGTGGCAGTTTACGTCTACCTGATTAGTTGACAGCAGCTTCTCTATCTGTGTTAAATAAATATTCTGTATCTTTATCTTCTTGACATAAAAAGAAGAATGTTTTATAACACAGACCTGAATATCAGAAACAACGACATATTTTATTCCATAAGGACTTCATTTATCTTTTTATTGTAATTAGAGTCGATTTTCTTGGTACAGAGGCTTACATTTTTGATATATTTTTCTTTATCAAGAAGGGTAGATTCCATTATTTTGCTCTAATATGTATACTACCTTGAAGAAAAGTAAATATATTTCATGGTAAATTTTAGAAACTTTCCAGTGAGTTTAAGAACAAGACAGGTGTGCCTCCTGTTGCCACCGGTATTCAAATCTGCACAGCTTGAGTTTGGGCCATGGGGTCATAGGAAAAAGTGAAATAGGAGTTGTAAGTTCTGAGAAAGATTCAGAATGTCAGTACTGACAGAACACAATCACTTACACATAATATTCGAAAGAATATGAAGATGGACTATCAATAACACTTATAAAAGACACACCAATATCAATAAAAGACACATCAAGTTTGCTGGATATACTCCCTACTAAAAACCAATCAGTAACATCACTATCCATTAGAAATAAACATTAGCAATTGAATATAAAAATAGTATTCATGGCTGTAAGAAAAACTAAACATAGAAGAAATGTAAAAACTATGTGACTTATACTGTGTATAATTGAAAACTGAAAAGATTTAACAGAAGATTTGAATAAATGGACAGATAAACCATTCTAATGAAAATGATAAAGTTGTTGAAATTCTCCAATCTTTTCTGTGAGATAGATGAAATTTCTATAAAAATTTCAAAATCTTTAAATATTGTCTTGGAACGTAATAAGCTGGTTCTCAGCAACATGTGGTGGACCAGAAGTTCATTAGTCAGCTTTCTGTTACTGTGGCAAGTAGCTGAGACAAGCAGTTTGGGGAGGAGAAGCGTTTGCTTTGGCTCCCACCTTGAGAGCTTTCAGTTTATGATTGGTGGGCCCCAGTGCTTCCTTCTCACTGGAAACACTCATTGGCTCTTTCTTGATTTACAGTAGTAAAGTAATTTACAGCAATTATATTTAGCATCAGTTTAAGGACAGGTAGATAGACCAGTGGGACAGACCAGAGAACTAAGAAAAATGAATAATGCTTTACATCTCTGCATCAGCAGAAAAAGGTAGAACTCTAATACAATGTATGAGAAAATTAGCTAGTAATAAGAAAGAACTTAAGAATGTTAAATATACAATTAAATTAAATTATTATTTCATGTCAGCACTATCATTAATTCTTGAGCTTCTCAAAGGTCTGAAATAAAATACTTAAACTTTAAATTGAAATATAGGAAAGTGAAGAAAGATGAATAAGAAATATCTCTCAATAATTATGCCCTGTAAAGAATATAAAGGAAATATAATATCAGTTATCTTATTAAGAATAAAAAATTGCCTATGGATAAAATCATCCCATTGATTAATAAAGTACGAAGCTATGCTTGGAGATAGGTAATTAGCAAATATGTGAACATAAAAATTACTATTTAGTATACATGAAGAATTCATGTATGTCCCTGAGGACAAAAGATCAGTAACCTAAGAGGAAAAGAAGCTAAATGTATGAGCAAGATTCTCAGAAGTGGAAACCCAAATTTCCCCCAAATATGTGAAAGAGTGATTGTTCTCACAAGTAAAGAGAGGAATGCAAATATTATCAATAATTAAATGGAATTTCATATTTTATTCTAATATAATGGTAGAAATATTATATTGAAGTGAAACCTCATGGAAAGTCATTTGTCAAAAACGTCTATCAGGTTATATCCAGTTTCATTAAGGAAGAAACCAGCATCATGAAATTGTTAAATGCAGAGTTAGGATTATCCCTCTTTACCGCAAAATTGTTTCTGGGGTGTAACTCGTGGATGACCCATCCAAACTGGGGAATTATTTATCTTCAAATAGCCAAGTCAGGGGAACTGTCTTTCCTGAATGACTTCTTTCTTGAAATCATTGAAATATGAGTCTCATTAACACTAGTCAGACAAGTTTCATCTTAATTGTTCGTTACATTTCACTCAGCCCATAAAAACCAATCAAGCAACACTGAATGTAACACATGAAAGAAGGCTCTTATTTCTGTCACCACTACCACCACACCGTCCTCATCCTCATCATCATCAGTACTACCATCGCCGCCACCATTATCCCCAGTACCACTGCAACTGCAGAGAACGTTATGGACAGGTAAATGGAATTTTGTTCTCAGTTTGTCTGAAAAACCTAATAAGTCGCCAACGTATCTGAATATCTTCTGTTTTTGTTAATTCATTGCTTTCTATAATTTAGAGTTTATTTCTGGGCTCTGTCAAGAAACATGCTATAGTCTGATGTCTAAAAGGCTTTTGAAGTCCTAGAGAAAGCTTTAAAAGTAAAAAAAGAAAATAAGAAATTAGAAAAGAATTAAATTTAGTGAGACTGTAACTACTGGAAAAGAATAGAACCATATAATTGAGTTGAAACATCAAAGAGACAAGGCATATTTTTATAATCCACCCATAAGAAAACTACCATTTTTTCTCTAATGGAATTAAAATCAAATTTTCTGATGTTAAAATGTTTTTTTAGAAATAAAACTATCTGTAACATGGTTGTTCTTCTGTCTTCTATTTCTATGCTGAAAGAAACTGTCAATGAGTCTTTGGTTGACCAGTATTGCATGTCTATATCTGTTTTCATGAGAAGCCACTTTGAAGATATCAATATGTAATACAACCACCATTGTTAATTCCCTACCACTTTGTTTGTAACTCTGTATTGTCTGTATTGTGCTTGTGATATGTTGTAAAATGTTGTATGTCTGTTAATGTTTCCCTCCTTTTATCTTTAAAATAAAAAATAAATAAATAAATAAAACTATCTGAAAACCATTTGAGTTTTTTGTAAAAAAATTTTTTTAAAAATATAGATCCTGAATTAGCAGCTGATTAACTGCAGGTGTCTTAGAAATTTCTTGGATTTCATAGTAGACTTATAATATAGGTTTTCTTCCAGACTTCTGGGAGAAAGTGGAAGTGGAAGCCATTCAACCTACTCAATTATTGTATTTTTCTGCTTCTTATTTACAACTCTCACCCTAGACTGAACACCATGTTTGGGGAAAAAAATGTTATTTTTATACAACTCAGGAAAGTTTGCATTGGAAAATACTCTTCATTGTATGGTAGAATTCAGGTGTGTCTAATTCAAATGGTTTATAAATCAAACTTTAATATATGAAAACTACATTTTCTTTTTTGTTTGTTTGTTTTTGTTTTTCTTCCGGTACCAGGAATCAAACTCATGACCTTGCGCTTGCTAGGCAGGTGCTGTGCCACTGAGCTGGAAGGGTGAAAATATTCAATCATTCACAGGGAATGTCTAATCTTACAAATTTATACCCTGATTACAAACTTTTCCTTTTGCAAGGTTTATGTAGAGTGATGCAGAACTGAGAGTTTGCGGAAACAGCTGAAGTCTGTATAGACATTTGGGATAAGACTTTTTGTATCATAGCTCTCTGTCCAAATGGCCAGTTATGTAACACTATGTATTTCAAGATATGAAGTGTAGCTACTACTGTCCAAAGTCTCTATGTCAGGTTTAAATCTGACCAAAAAAATCTAACCATAACCTTAAAATATTTGTTCTATTAGAAGCCAAGCTACTAAGTTTTCTGGTGTTTTTCATCTAATTGTCTGATTTTGGTGACAAAACAACTAACTAATTTATCCATTTATGTTATATGGTAATCTATATTTGTGGTAGAAAAATTACAAAATATAGCTTAGGAAGAAGTAAACAGAAAAGAAAAATATCTCTAATTTCATAATATGGAGATTATTGAAATTGATGTGTTTCCTGACACTTCTATTAAACCTCATAATGTTACACTATGTGTTTAATTTTATGTCTATAAGTCTGTTTATATTCATGTACATGTCATGGCTGTACTTTACAAAAACCTAAGACTGCACCTAATATTTTATGATTTGCTTAGACTAAAAGAAAAGGGCCATTCAATTTCTGTCCAGCACTATGACCACAGAAACCACGTCTACTTTGCTCACGGATGAATTCCCGACAGATGCCATAGTACTCAGATGTGATCGGTCTTATTTGGTCCTGTCTGCATGAGGCATCCCCTGTTTGAAAGTAGCCTAAGGAAGACTAATGCATGTTGTAAATCCTGTTGGAGGAGAGGGAACTAGGTAGACTTGCAGTGCCTGTCATCTGATTTGAACCATTTTTTTCCTTTCATAGGTCCACTGTGGCTTCCCAGAGAACACCTCGGCCTCTATGGATGATAATCCTTCTTTCTCTTGGAATAATGGCAGTTTTAGGAGTAACGATTGGTCTTCTTGTTCATTTTCTAGCAGTAGGTCAGTATTAACTATTTGCACTGTTAACCCATTCTACTAATGCCCTTATTTTAAAAAATTGGTAAGAAACATAGATATTAAAATTATTTGGAAAGTTTTCTCATTTGTTTAATATATTATTTAAACATCATAAAGAAAGGCCTGATGTTTCTTCTTCTTGTTTTCTGTCTTGCAAGAATTTATCTCATGACAGTATAATTACTTTCTTGTATTTTAAAAATGTGTGATAATCTTCCTATTTATTTTTTTTATTCTTTTAATGCCAGTCCTATGGGATTAGAGCATCACCCTTGTAATTTATTTAACTTTAATTTCCTCCTTCAAAATTCTATTTTCAAGTAGAGTTACACTGGCTCTAAGGACTTGAACATAATAATTTTGTGTCGCATGCACGCTTGAGACAATAATCAAGGGAAAATCAGTTTCAGAACGGTACTTTGAATCAGTATAATTTTCCAATACTACAACCAGGGTCAGAAATTTAAACACCAGGGTTTCTGTGAACCTGAGCATGATGTATGTGACTACTGACAAATTAATCTTCCTATATGTGAGTACTCAGGTTCAGTACTCTGGGTGTAACACTAAGTTAGTAAATTCTAATTATTTACTCTAGAGCATTTGATGGCAAAATTCACAGAGTAAAATCATAAAATAGAAGGGGCTTTCTCTATTGCAGTCTTATCTTTGTGATTAATGAGAAAACTCTCAAAGGGCTAAAGTACTGTGTCCGCATCACACAGCCAAGTGGAGTCATGGCTGAATGAGTTTTTTCTAGCACCATACTTGCTTTGTTTCGGATCACTTTAGGTGACATCTTAGAACTTGATATTTGACTTCACATGCACAGATTGCGATAAGGAAAAACTTATGAAGTGATAAGAAACACATTTTTATCTCAGAGTGAAATTATTTGTGAGCTCCAGCACAATAAATTATTTCAATTGAGGAGGGCCCCTGGTACTGACACTAAACCCAGGACCTTCACACTGATCCATATCCCCAGCCCTTTTTTACTTTTTAAATTTTGGGACAGAGTCTGGCTAAATAGTTAAACTACCCAGGCGGGTCTTGAACTTGTGGTCCTCTTGCCTCAGCTTCCAAGAATGTAATCCCAGGGTTACAGCCATACTGTACTACGCCAGACAATATAGCACATTTTAAAGATGGATCAAAAGCACAGTTGCTAAACAAGATGGGAGAAA